GGTGGTTTTTTCAACATCTTTATGTGGTTTCCACTGTCCCGTTTTAATCTTGGCATGCATGCCATGTCTTCCGACTGGCAGGCCACAAGATCCTTTCATGGGTCGGTGACACCCTCCGTGCCTCCCACCCGAAGCCGCCAACAACAATAACCTAGTGGGTTATTTCTTCCTTTTTTCCTTGTGCCGCTGGGTTCTTCAGCCGGGGATCATGCAAAGATTCCCTCTTCGGTTCGATGGCCGACACCGAAACCCAGTATTTTCTCCTCTTTTTCTTCCGCGCCGACAGCGCGATACACTTTTCCAGGGTGGCTTGGAGGACTTACGAATTGCTGCTGCCCGATTGGGGTGGCAGGATCGATATCGCTCCTTGACGCCGCTACTCACCAATGAACAATTTCGGGCGAATTGCTGAAGATATCTGTGTTCACAAACTTCGTTGTATCAATCATCTTCCATATTGAAAACTTAGGGGCAAACTTACCCCAGCGTTTTGTTTCTTGCTGCTGCGTTCAAGCACCTAGTGACGCTCACGACACTGCAACAAGGTGGCACGTAATGTGGGAGGCATCCATGTGGCCCCCGGGAGATCCTTCACACTCTTCTCATTCTACATCCTGCCCACCACCTGCTTAGGCGATGCTGCAGGTGCAGACTGTGCAGCACATTAAATCCGTCGATCCACTTCTCTACAAGGAAAACTCCGGTACAGAATTCTCAAAGAAAAGAGTCAGTGGTGCGGTCACCTCGCGACGTCGGTGCCAAATTCTAGCCCGAATGGCCTGATAGGAACGGATCAACCTCCCTGCTCTGGAACGCAGTCTAGAAAGGCACAGCGCTTCACCTTCCCGAGGCAGACTGGAGTGGCAGCACGAAAATTCCCCCTTTTGACGGAGTCCGATTCCGTCATCCAATGATGTTTCCTCTCACAGTTACCAGTTCCCCGTTGCGTGACGATTGAGGTCCTTGTATCCATATCCCTCCCGAAAGCCCCGTCCATACCGCGTGCGTGGTTACTGCAGTGTGGCCCCCGTGGATCGGGTTTCATCTATCCAGTTCCTTTTTTCCTACAGAACAGATTATGAGCCCCCAATCTGGAGTACTAAATTGGAACAGCAAGATGCTTAAAAGAATCCGCTGATCCTCTCGCTGCTCAATGTGTCCACTCTCTTAAGTTTTGTGACTCTCTTCGACTCCCCTCTCGCCATCTGTGCGTCTGTTTGACGCCGCGCAGCCGCGTCATCCGCCGCAATGTCTTCGACGTCTAGCACAACAACCGTCAACCTAGAGCGTGCCAAGGAAAGTAATACGGCCATGATCCTAGCCGTGACGGGGACTTTTCACGCGCTCGCTCTCGTCTTCGTCGTCCTCCGAACGTATACCCGCGCCGCTATCGTAAAGACGATAGGCATCGATGATTACACGATGATCATGTCTGCCGTATGCCATCCAGAATACTACCAAGGTTGCCATAACAGCAGGATAAGGGCGACCATGCTGACGTTTAGCAGCTCTGTGCGCTTGGTGGTGGTATGGTGATCTTCATTATCCAGGCGTTTTATGGACTCGGTAGACACAAAGACATAATCAGCAAGCCAGATCAAGTGTTCTTTTCCAAAGTTGGCTTCTTTCAGTCTATCATATCCGCCATCGCCGCCCTGGCGTTTCTGAAGATTTCAATCGCCCTATCGCTGCTACGTCTAAGCAAGAACAAGTGGTACTCGAGGTCACTATGGGCTTTGATTGGTACGATATCTATCCAGTCCTATGTATACACTGTAACCGTTTGGCTTTTGTCTAACCTGTCATTAGTGTTTGTAGTGCTCTATACGATCATGGCATGGCTAAGCTTCTTCTTGTACTGTAGCCCGATGGAGGGATATTGGGACAAGAGCCTCAAGCCAAAGTGCTACAACATCAAGTTGTTTGTCAACTTCGCACTAGTCAACACTGGTAAGACAAGCCACCTACCCTAGGTCGATGGTTTTGGAAGCTGATTCAATTCCAGCGTTCAACATCTTTACCGATGTTTGTTTCGCATCCCTGCCCATCCCCATCATTTGGGTCTTACAGATGAAGTTGCGCACACGGGTGTATCTGATCGTCGTACTTAGTCTGGGATATTTGTAAGTCTCGTCCCAGTCTACACATAGACTACGTGCCTGGGTTAATCTAGGCCAGGGCTGTTATTATGGGCATCATCAAAGCCATCTATCAAATTGCGCAACCGGGCAGCAAAGACGGGACCTTGTAAGTCCTCATAGGTATCACCGACAAGAAACATTACTGACGAGTGATACTAGTTACCAAAGTATCCAATTCTGGGGTTTGTAAGTTGTCCGAATGGTTCATGGACTAAACCGGAGTTGAGCTAACGATCTTTCTTACAGCCTCCAACTCAACCTCGGCATCATCGCCGCCTGCGCACCAGCATTAAAACCCCTCGTCGGCCGTGCCCTCAAGATCTCATCGAGCCGTCATTACAACAGCGATAACCTCTACGAAAACCGATACCCGACTGGACGATCTGGTAGAACGGGGAACATCACCACGGGCACCGCTCGAAGGCAAGGCTACAGGGAACAGGGAAGCCAAGGGGCACCAGACTATGAACTCGGGGACGGGCCATTTTCACCAAGCCCAGAGTTCTACCGTACGACGATCAAAGGTGGGAATAATACTCCGGCAGCAGTCGCTGTGTATCAGAAGAAGAACAGCTTTGGCGACAGATCGGGGAGTGAAGAATTGATACTGGAAACTGGGCATGGGTTTGGAGAGAGCAAGGGTATCATGAGGACGACCGAAGTGCATATCCAACGTTGAGAACCAGCATTTAGGGCAGTACGGCCGGTCCTAATTCGTTAAGATGCCCAGAAATGATGGAATGAGGATAAAAGATTGACTCCATTCGAAGCGATTGCGTTTGACCCCTTTCTTGACTAAAGTAAGGTATGCTCAACTTTGGGTATTTCTTTCTGCTGACATACTCCAATACTTCCACTTCGAATATGGGCCTACTCGTAGTCCAACAGGTGGTATCATTGACATGAAGAGTGCGATCAGTTTTGTAAGTATTGTTACCCCTTGGTACACAATAATATCAAGTTTATGCGGACTCTGATATGGGTCGCGTGCTAGGAGGCACTCCAATGAGTGATATGGCAGATATACAAGAACCAACCATCCGCGACTAAGTTAGACAATCACCACCAATATCATCTCCTTCCCCTAGGGCCCTGATTGAGTAGACCCTGAGCTAACCTGGATAGAGAGACATCCTATCCTCAGGCTAGCCAAACGTCCTTGTGTCCCAAAAACAGACTCAAATCCCCTTTTCGTTGGAGTTGCCAGAATCAAGCTCGGTAGTAACGTGTCGCCGTCTCAAATTGCCAGCTTCGTCATGCACCTCGTCCCACGCAGCAACCTCCGCCTTGGGGACTCTGACCAGGCGATGCGTGTTGGCGCCGTTGGAATCAACCTCGACGATCTCCGTGCGGATCTCGTATCCCAACCAACGAGGGAGCACGTACATCCAGAAGACGTAGTACAGAATGCAGAGAAGGATGCTAGCAGAACGCAGAATGAGTCAGCGGGTTTTCTTATACTTCAGGTTCACCGATGAACAAGGGGTTACTCACATGCCGATACCCACGACACAGTACGTGGCGTACCAAAAGCTGACGCTTCCCGCGTACGGACCACCTTTTGGCGGCCACCACGGCATAGCCAAAACAAAGACCTGAATGGCGAGGAAGAAGAGGACGACAAAGTCCCAGGCGCGGAACTCGGAACGGCTGATGCCGGAGCGCTGGCGACGTCGTCTGAGGACGAAGACGCCAAACGTCATGGCGAAGTTGAAGATTGCGCTGGGGTAGCTGGCCAGATCGACGACTGCATCTGATGTTAGTGGTGAGTTCAAATCATGGATCAGCAGATCCCTGGGGATGACTTCATACCGAAGGAGAAAGCATCGCCAGCAGGGGGCGCGACGATCATGATAAAGGTCATTGTCCACTTCAACATGTACGGACCCAATGGGGTTCCAAAAGGCTTAGTCGAGACCCAAAAGTTGGTGAAAGGAAGAACACCTTGTCTAAGTCCTAAAGTCAGCAAAAGTTCCATCAAACCGAAACGGAAAATCCACTAACCGGCCAATCTCACGAATCATGCGCGAAGATCCAATCAACACAGCCAACAAATTCCCAAAAGCACTCAACAAGACCAAGAAATTCAAAACATTCGCAGCAGCCTTGCTCCCGCCAAACAACTTTGAAAAGAAGACCGCGGCCGCGATCTCGCTCGCGCCCTTGAACTCGGCTTTTGGTACAGCGGCGAAGTAAGCAATGTTGCAGAGCATATAGAGGATGGCGACCGTCAGCAGCGAAATGATGCCGTTCTTCTTGAGCGTGGGGATCGGGTTCTTGATCTCGTTGGTCATGTTGAAGGCGTTGTAGTAGCCCGCGTACGAGAAGATGATGCTGACGAGGGCGTTGGAGAGGTCGTTGCCGTTGCTGGTTGTGCCCTCGAAGGCGTTGCGGAAGTTTGCTTTAGGGTCCGGGATGTGTTTGACGTTGCCGCCTAGGACTACGAGGCCTGCGATGGAGATGCTGAAAGATGGGGTGTTAGTTGTGATGAGAAGGCTGGTTTGGGGTTGAGTTGGTAAACTGACAAGACCAGGGTGAGAAGCTTCAGGACGCCGATGAAGTTCACGAGCCAGAGTGAGTATCTGTTGTGTGCGAGGACGCAGATGACGGCAAGGGTGTAAGCTGCGATAGCGACGCCTCGCATCTGCCATTCTGAGGGCGTGATATCGGCCATTCTCCAGAGGTATCGAGATAGAACTGCCACACGTGTCAGTGAATCTCGGACTTTGGCGTCGACTCCTATGATCTCTTCACTCACCGACTGCATTACTGCTGCTGAATGACAGAATCACCGACTGGACGGCAAAGGCAACCGGGAAGAAATGCTTGGGCCGAGGGTACTGCTGCTCCAAGTAGACAACTTCTGAACCGCTGCGGTTGGGGAAGTAACTGGCTAATTCGAGATAGACGCTGAAGCCTGCCGAGGCCATGAGGAAACCAATCACCCAGTACATCAAGGCGAGGCCAATTGAACCTGTTCTGTTGAGGATACTAGCAGCTATACCGGGATTAAGTTAGCGTGCTTTCTTCGCCATGAGTTGAATCCATAGATTGGCGTTGATTATGTTGACACATATGTAAGTGAGAGCTCAGGCTGACTTACGAGTAGAGAAAACACCGGTCCCAACCATCATATTGATATTCAGGAAAATAATAGCCACCCAATTGACATGGTATTCCAACGGCGAATCGGATTCGACAGGCGCACCGACAGCCTCCTGGTACGACGGCTTGGATCCATTGCCTCCCTTGACCCTGGTATACGCGAGATCGCCATCGTGGATGATGGACGGCTCAGAGTCGCTGGCCTCGGGGTCGGCGCGAACAGTCGAGTCGGCGCCGCCCGACTTCTCGCTCGGGAAGAACCTCGAAAAGACCATTGTCGAGGTGGTCGTGCCTTATCCTCTGCGGAGAGTAGGTTTCATCAGCAGGTCGGGTATGACGGGGCTACAGGTGGCACGTGGATGAGGACCCGGGTGAGTTCGAAGAGGCCAAAGCGGTGACGGCACGATCTTGGGGAGGATTTCTGCATGAACGCTATGGTAGCGCAAGCATACATATATACAGATATGCGCTCCCACGTCCTTCGTCAAGACTACAAGTAATATCCTCCCACCATCCGTCCCCGACTCATGTTCGCATGCGACAGGCACCATAACGGGGGGTATCAAATCACACAATCGATTATCTCTTGGCCTAATGTTCCTAACCCATGCTTCCAAGCTAGCTTGAGTTGCTTGACAAGTCAACACCAACCATCTTGGCACTCGAAGACCCTTCCACAGTAAGAGGCACAGAAGCACGCAATGGAGGGTCGGATCACTTCCCTCGAACTCAATTGAGTGAAATCCAACCGGCCAGGCCGACCAGGGCGCGCGCGCGGCTGGAACTAGAGCTGAAGCTGGGTGCACAACTTCACCCTACAACCCCGTCGCCACCCCCGTCCAGGCCGTCCTACACTGCATGCCGAGAAGCGCGATTGTAACGTCCCAACAGCAATGGAGAAAAAACTTGGGACGGAAAGAGGAACGGACGGGTTCCAGGGACCACCGCGGAGACTGGAGAGGCGTGTTTCCGCCGCGGCTTGTCCCTAGTCTCTCTCTCTCCCTTCTCTTAGTGTACCCAAACGTCCGTGGATTCGCTCAAACCGGATGTGCGAGGGACGTGGTGTTACCCGCGCCGAATCCACCCCCGCGCGGGCGTGGTCCCACTGATTTTGTGGACATTGTTGGTAGGTTGGCGATGGAGTAACACCGAGGGTAAATGACGACATCCGGTAGCCGGTACCAAAGGTTCTAGAACGGCAATTGAGGAGAGCTGGATGTCCGCGCCTTTAAGTGCTTTACTATGTGTACTGAACCGTAAGTCAGCTGAAGCATGAGGATCCATCAAACGCAGGAAAATAGGATTCCCCAGGTGAGAAATTGGTCCGCGATTGTGTCGTGTGAGGTTCTCGCGATCTTGTAGGGGATATCGGTCCTGCTGGTATATCCCAACGACTCTGTTTCTGTACTAACCCACAACTCGAAATCAGTGAATCAAAGATGGTTTGATTCTGATCTTGTACCAACGTGTCCCTCCATCCGCCTCTCGATGCTCCTTCCCTCGGATTATGATCCCAAGATGGGAGGGCCAAGCCTTGAACACGGGAAGACCGTTGCGCGAGAAAAGACTTGGCTGAATATCCCCTTGATATAGCATCTCTAAATGGTCTTACCAAGAAATCACATAATCCATGGCGCTATCCAATCAATCATCCCACTCCATGGCACCTGCCACGAGCAGAACGCTGGAATTCCATCGCGTCAAGGGAAAGCTTGGCAAGGGCGACGAAAAGAGTCCGTTGCCGTTGAGCGATCTTGAACGCCATTCTTCCAAAGGCATTAATCGGGGCAAACCATACCCAAACAGATGCTAGCCGTGAGAGAAAGAAAAGACGCGTGGGATTATTCGGTCTCCTTACCGGCTTGGGGGTGGGATTTCATGTCGACATCGGGCCGCTCAATAGCGCCATCGAAGAATCCCGGGAAAAAGACGCCTTGGCCAACGCCCCCGCCAAGCATTCAATCAAAACTCTGAAGATCATCCAATCGGCCTAGACCAGGTAAAAAAACAGAGACGTCAACACAGTTTTGAGGGAGATTCTTGCAGTAAGACCGCGACTGGGGAGGGTTCAGGCCCATCAAGCGGCTAAATATATGTCCGGCCTGCTCGCGTTATGGCTCTGCCCCATGGTTATGAAGCTCATAGACACTATACCAATGGAGCCGACTACACCTGATACCGAGTCAAGGTCCTCTTCAAATGTGGGAAAGTCAGCGGCAATAACGCATGGGAAAGGAACGGCACAATACACGAGTGCAAAACTTCAGCGTACGTCGTCAAGCCCACGACTTCTCCTTCTCCCGCCCTGACACTCGTTCACTCAAGACATCGCGGTGTCCTCTTCAACACTCAAGCACCGTCACCGAATTTCAGAGCCAATTCCTTCAAGGTATCCAGTCTCATTATGATACGCAGCAGACGTACACAAACTCGTACACCCAATCTTCCAACCTATATCCGAAAAGAGTACATCAAGTACTCGTCCCAACCAATCGAGGAGCGGTGATGCAAGCCCAGGTCCGACAACATCCCACTACCAACGCCAGACAAGACAGCCCAAACCCAACCTAACCTGACCCAGTCCATCCCATGATATATACCCATGACACATTCCATACATAATCTATCCAGTGCACCCTATACACACCAATCAATAAACCCCTAAAAGTCAAACGGCGTAAAAATATCCGTAAACCACCGATTATCCATCAAATCCAACCCAAACTGCCCCAACTCAACCTCCCCAACGCCAGCACCACCACCCATCCCAGCCCCGAGGACACCGGTCCCATCAACCCCCGTCGCAGCAGGCGCATCAACCTTGGCCAATGGCGCCATAGAAGCCTCCCAAGTCCCCTTGAGCCCCTTAATCGTCTTGACAGCCTTTGCAAACGCATTTCCCTCCTCAACGTCGACATTCAACCCAGCCTCGCTGCAAACCCTCATAAACCGGTCTCCAATCTCGTCGAGCGTCGCAATGAGATCAATCGTCGATCGCACGCTCGCCCGGTCCCACACAGGGTCTTCGAGCACCGAGAGGCGGTAGAGCGCAATGGTGCAGTGGGAGAGCTGCGAGAAGGTGAGGAAGGGGGTCGTGTAGTAGGCCGCGGGTGGGAGGGTGAGGAAGTGGTCGAACCAGGCCTTGACTGCGTGCAGGCAGGCGTAGTAGATGTCGAGGCGGGCCACGTCGGGGAGATTGGCAGGCACGCAGGTGCCTGTCTTGTTGGAGAGGGCGATTTCTTGGATGGAGAGTTCTGTGCAGTGGAGTTGGGCGATGATTGTGTCTGGCCAAGGGTGTTAGAGACGAGTTGCCACGAAAGGTAAGGGCACAAGAGCAGCAGGAGGAGAAAGGAGGAAGGGGAAGACTCACCTGTACTCTGGAGCTCTGAAGGCAGGCTCTGAATATGCTGCTGGAGCTGCCTCTGCAGCAGCTTGACATACATGGCAGGCGGCGTCTTGTGCGCATCCACAATATCGAAGGTAGTCTCGGGACGCCATGCCGCGGACATCTTCCCGGCCTCCTCCTTGAGTAGCTGCATCCTGACCAGTGCGACGAGAGTCCGGTCCGAAGGCGACTCGGGCTGCTCGTCGAGAACTTGTAGACACTCATCCATGTGTGGTGTCCAACGCAGGGGGTCCATCTTGCCCAAGAAACTGGCGACGCTGCAGAGGTGTTAACATTGTTATCTCAGCAAGTGTCACTGTCGGGAATTGGCAAGTTGGTTGAGTAGACGGAGGGTACTCACGCTGATGAGATGAGGTAGCAAGCAACCACAGCCCTCCTCTGCTCCATCGTCCGCGGCATCTGCGACTTGACATACAGAGTCTGCCCCACGGCCCCAGTCTTCTCCCGGTCAGCCCTCTCCTGGGCAGCCTTCCAGCAGAGGAAGGGATTCAGGTTGTCCAAGGGGTCGCGGGACAGTCCCAAGTCAAAGATGAGACCGATGGCAATCTGACAAAACAAACACATGAACGGCTTGTTACCGAGCTGGTGATTCGCCCTGAAAAGACACCTAAAATGTCAGCGACACCGGCCAAATGTGTAAACGATTCCACTACGAGAAGAAAGAGCAGAAGCACGAACGTGACTTGTACTGACCATCCTAATATCACCAACAATCCGAGGAGGTAATCAATACTCCTCTCGTTCTCGACAAGCAGTTTGTGACTCACAATCTGCCGCACCCGTTGGCCCAGCGCAAGCTGCTGACTTGACACCCTCGACGCGACAGTCATGATGCAGATCCACAGAAATGGCCTCTCGCCGCGCAGCTCCTCGGCCGTCATCGTGGCCTTGAAGTTGAGAAACGGGAAGTATTTGAGATTCTGACCGCGAAACGCCTCAAAAAGTGCTTCCGCCTCGTCTGGCGAGGGCAGCTCGTCGCCGTACCCGGGTTCCTCGGGACTAGCCGTCTGCGTCGGCGTCGGCAACGACGCCCCACGGTCTCTGCGATCACCTTTGCCGAAATGCTGCGCCGACTCAAAACCACCACCACCAACGCCGCCGCCAGCGCCATGCATATCCCCCATCTCAGAAGACTGCCTCCTCGCCGCCTCCGCAGCAGCAGTAGCAGCAGCCGATGTCGACGAAGAAGAAACAGAACCCCCAGACAAGTGAATATCAACCCCCAAATCAGACGACAAGTTCGGCCTTCCTGATTGCCTCAGCAGCGTAACAAGGCCATCAAGCTTCTCCTCCAGCTGCGCGGTCCGGCTAGACGGCGGCTTCTTGGAGCGTTTCCGGATGGGGTTGCTCGGCTGGCACGACTTGCCGAGCCGGTGACACCGCTCGCAGGCCCCACCGACGGGGCGGAGGATGCATTTGCACTTTGCGCGGGAGCAGTTGGTGCAGGCCCGGCCGTAGGGTGCGGCGATGCCGCCGTTGACCGACTCGGCGGCCCCCGAGTCGCGGGTTTCGATCCCCGTCGGCATCCGGGATTCAAACTTGGAGGCGAATGCCCCTGTCGCTTGAGGTCAAAGAACAAAAAAAAACTGATAAGAAGATGCACAAAAGTAAGTGGTGCAAGGCTTTGCTTTCTTTGGTAAGCGGGCCGAGAATCCGGAAGTCCCCCTTCCTTCGGGGTTGTGGGCGGCGAGCGGACTTGGTTGAGCAGCGGCGTGTGTGTTGCGTGATGGTTACGGTGGTGCCAGGTCCCGGGGTTGGTGCCGGGCCAGAAATCGCCCTGCTAAGCTTTTTGGCTGCAGGCGATCAATATCTCTCTCAGTCTCTTGTGTGTAGGTATCTCTCTGTCTGCACTCTGTGTCTCACGATATTCGCAGCCAACGAAACACACGCCAGCTTTGAACGGGCTTCAGATGTCCGTTTGGTATCGCAAATGCCGTTTGGATGGAGTGCAGGAGGTGTGAGACCAACGAGAAAGGGAACTTAGGAAGTGGGAAGGGGGAACAATGAGCGATGGAGCGAGCAGGAGAGGATTGGCTTCGAACCCCGCCGGGTTTGGGAGGTGGGTGGTGTGGGCGATGTCGAGGACCTTGCGGCATATGTACGTCGAGAGGCGGAATTGAGGTTGGGAATATTGAAGTCCGACCGATCCAACTGACGACAGCCTCTGACGCTGTCATGGCGGTTGGGTGTGAGCCTGAGGCTTGCATGTGGCTTGTGTGTGGCGCAAGGGCGGGGATAAGGATATGTGTTGTGCCGAATGCCGAAGTCCGCTCCCGCTCCCGCTCCCGGCCCTGGTCTCATCCACTAAGAAACGCAAGGCCGCCCGCTAGAAATACTTTAACCGTTCGCAGAGAGCATCTTACATCAGCCAGCTCAGATGGTTTAACACGATGAAGGATGTAGGTTTTGATCTCTGCCTCATTGGGCATTGAGGACGAACTTTGGGTATATGCCGGGTGTTAACAGTCCGGTACGAACCAACACTACCTACCTTATTGCAAGACATATTGCTTTCTGTAGAGAGCATTATCCCATACCTCTCTCAGGTGCTGTAACTAGGTAGGCAATTCGTCTATTTCCACCTTCTTTCAACTCATGCTGGACAACTATAGACCTCACAAAGAAAGGGTTGGGCTCACGGTAAAGACTACAATGCGGCATTTGGGTGGCTAGCTAGTCAAGAAAGCAGCACATGTTCACAAGGTATGAAAGACAAAGTGATGAATTGTGTCATGGGTATTCGATTAAAAGTTACCATGCAACTTGGGACCTAACGCCTTAATGTCTGCTTTGTACTAACGCAGCACGGCCTCAAATGAGGCAATCACAAGGTCCTCGAATGTTGCCTCATCGCAGGACAAAGACATAAAGATCAACGACTCCGTAGAGCTGGCCGCAGCCTACCGTTGACGAACCACCTCCAACGCCGAAATGAGAACTCATTACCTTCCATCCCACTGGAGAAGCACATCAGTTGCTCCCTGGAAAAGGGTGCTCGTGAAAGTGTCCCCCCCTGAATACCATAATGCCATAGACGTCGCATGCTAACGACCTCCGCGACACCCACTCCGCCTAGGTATCAAAGCACAATTATCCCATTCTGGAAAAGGTTCGAGAGACAGCCCGACGCAAGATCAAAAAGGGCATCCGCAGGGTATTTTTGTCGTACTGTACAATATGTCGGTCTGAAACTGTGCCGAGGCGTTCCAGTGCTTCGTTAAAAAGAAGTGGAAGTCTCTCCACGAACTGGGTCAAGTTTGATCAAGAGGTGAGTCAAACTCCGCCACCCATGAAGGCAGCGAGGTCGTCAAGCTCGAGCAGCTGTCGCTCGAATGCGGAGCAGAGTTCGCTAGCCGTCATGTCCTGGGGCACAGGAGCAGCAGGCTCGGCAGACGCCACGCCGTTGCCAATGGGAGGCTGAGGAAGCATCTCAGTGGACTGCTTGATCTCGGCCGGCTGAGGAGGAGGGGGGCTGACGGAAGCCGGGGTGCCAACGCCGCCGGAGCCTCCGTTGATAGTAGTGACGCCGGGGCGACGCGGCAGAGGCGCGGGAGGCTCACTGTCGCGACCGCTCTCGCGGCCACTCTCGCTCACGGAGGCAGTGTGGTTGTTGGCAGGAGCCGGGGGAACGGGAGCTCCAGTGCCAGCGTTGGAGTTGGAGGTCTGGTCATAGTCCATCGCGTCGGGGTTGGTGTCTGAGTTCGAGGCGGCTTCGTCCTTAACAGAAGCCTGGTCGGCGGGCGGGGCGCTGGTGGGAGGCACAGAGGTGCCTGCAACACTGGGGCTACCAGCGACAGCATCGTTGCCGAGCACTCTATGCATAACGGCAAGGTGACGCAGCCAGGAGCTGATCAGAGGCCAGGTGTCAACCCCATCCTGCATGAAGTGGAGGCCGTCGCGCACAATATGCCCGGCAGTCTCGACCGCATTGGGAGGGGTCAGGCCCTTCAGAGACAGGTAGGCCACGGTGGCGCTGGCAGTGAATGACGAGAACAGCATGAAGATGGGGAAGCAGATGATGCCCTCCTTGTCAAAGCCAGTCTCGAGAGCAGTGAGCATGGCAATGGTGCTGTGGCACGACGTAAAGAGCCTATCAATAATATCGTGGCACTGGGGGGTCAGGCGCCAGCTCTCGAGGTTGAAGCCAGGTGCAGTAACATACTGCAGCAGGCGGCGGCGGTTGATGAAGATGGATGCGCAGTGCAGCATGCAGTGCAGCATGGCATATGTGAAGCCAGAGCCCATGGTGATGTGAAGGTTGATCTGGCCCGGCTTGTCGACGTACTGCATCGACAGAGAAGCGCGAAGGCGCTCAATCTCGCCCATGAGACCAGTGCAGACATTATCGTTAAAGGTCTCAGTGGTCGTGGTCATCAGCATCTGGACAACGTCACGCCAGATACGAGTGGCCATGACAATCTGACCGAACTCGCCAATCTCGTCGGTACGGGAGCCAGAAGGCATCCGAGAGGGGTCGCTGAGGTTGATGGTCTGGACGTAGACGGCATTGCCAAAGGCAAAGTTCATATCAGAGCATGGCAGAGAGACGTCAGCCGTGTCGTTGGCCGACAAAGCAGGCTGGCGACCGGGCGTGCTGGTGAGCAGGCAGTCGAGAATGTACAACAGCCACAGCACACGGCGGAACGACTCGTCCTGAAGGAACCTATCGGCATCACTGACGGCCGCATGGTGGCTGTGGAGAATGCGGTACATTTGGACCATGCGACTGGCCTGGCCCAGGTAAATGTAGGCGCGAACAGCATTGCGGGAACCCCACTCGTGGATGATGATCAGGCAGATGGCCTGAATCTCAGCGAGGCTGGGAGTGTCGAGGTTCTGGTTGATGATGCCCATGGCCTTGGCTGCAAAGTGCTCAGCAGCACCAGTCGCGCCGGACTGCCCGCCATAGCGTCTAATCAAGGTGGGAGAGCTTCTGCAGGAGGACAATAAAGTTAGCTGGAGAGTGTTCATCCACTAAAAGTTCACCATTGTCTAGAGCCAGCACGGCGGTGACTGAGTCGGACCAAAGACAATGGCCACAATAAACAAAAAAGTGGCGACACTTTCGGCCCAAGTCCGGACATTTGTGGCTAAGCGAGCCGACACGAGACTTCCGAACGGAAGGCCGCGCCACCCACAAAAAAAAAAGCCGGACATTGCGGGGGGACGTAGTGAAACACCAAATCAGGAGGGAAATTGGGATCGGGGATCGGAAGACCCGAAAGGCAGAGGTACGTACCGAGCGGCGCAGGTGAGCAGCGCGTAGATGAGGGCCGGGTCCAGAGAGGCGTTCTTGAGCTGCTGGATGAACGAAGGCTTGTGGAAAGCAACACAGGCCGGGTACGTCTTGGAAATGACGCGTTCGCATTCTTGGATCAGCTCCGGTGTAAGTCTGGCGGGGATGAGGTCAGCATTCGTGTTTGTTTCTGCGCCCGTGTTTGCGTTCGGGGGGCGTGGAACGAGGTGTCCATCCCGGCGACTGGCCCGGGTGAGAAGAAGTGGAGTGAAAAGTGGCGGAGACGGGGATGTCACTCGGGAAATGAAAATGGGGAGGGGGGCAGAGCGAGTACGGGTACACCAAAATGGATATTGAAAGCTCGTGGGATCCAAGGGAAAGCCCGCCGTCAGATGGCGGCTCCGAGGGTTAGGCTAGCGGCGGTGGGAGATGCCGTCGGTTGGAGACGAAACGCCGTCTTCGGGAGATCGAAGCAATGGCAGCCAAATCTTGGGGAAAAAGAAACAAGGGGGAGGGCACTTGGGCAGACGACGCAAAAGGGGGGAGGAAGAACAAGAGATGACCGCGCGTGTGTGATGAGAAGGGGAACAAGCCACCGCGCCCAGGCCGCATGCAGTAGGGGGCCGAGCTCCCCTCCCTGGTCGGCGGCGGTGGGCGGCGACACAGCCGAAAGACGAGAATAGTACACCCGGCACACGGCGCGCGCGCGCGCAAGGCAACTGAGTGCCAAGCGCAAAAAAAAAAAAGTGTGCGCCGCGCAAGGTTTGAGACAAGGCGGCGGAGGCAGTGACGGGGAAGAAAATGAAGATGCCGAATTGTGAAGAACAAGCTGTAAACTTACTTCTCGGGAGTCTGAACGTGACGAGACGTGGTAGAAGCCGGGTTGGCGGCGCGCACATCGCCGGCCGGGACCGAGGCAGGAAGGCTCTCACGCGCAGGGCGATGAGCGGCGGTATGACGGGCAGGCGACTGGCCATGGTGATGGGCCATGGACTCGGAGGGCAGATAGCACTCGTGCATGCCCTTGGCACAGTTCTTGCAAGGAGCGCGGCCGTTTTCGTAGACGCACTTGGTTTTGCCCTTGCGACAGCGCACGCAGGCGCCGCCGGCTCGGAGGGCGGTAGACCGCACAACGCTGGCCGACATGGTGCGGTTGTGTGTATGTGAGGTTGAGTGTGGTGTGAAGTGGATGAGATGCGAACCAGTCTTGATCAGTCGCGGTGTGTCGCTGGATGATGGAACTTGTCTTTTTTACTTCTGCAGAGCAAAGAGTGCGCCGACGAGAAGATGAGGGCGGTAGGTAGGGTTTGTGTGGTGAAACCCGGATGCGCGTGTCTTCAGCCGGAGGTGGATGAAAAGACGCGACGCGATGAACTTCTTGATCCACCCAAGGTAGGGAGGAGTAGAAGAATCTTGCTTGGTTTGTGGGATGATGTCGTGATCCCAGTGAAGCGACTTGTGACGTCGGCAAAGGTCACGGCGATGGTCGGCGTAAGAAAGCCGGAGAGTCGACGAGGTGAAGTTGAAGAAAGGAAGGAAAAGAAGGGAGAGTTCGGGGGTGTCAGGGTCGCGGGAGGAGGAGTATTTTGTTGAGGGGGGCTCCGGAAGAGAAGAGAGTTTTGGGGCCGGGTGACGCAGAGAAAAGACGACCCGTCGCGCCGAGATTATGGAGAAGGGTGGCTCCAGAAAGGCGAGACCCCCAGGCAGGAGGTAGCGGGCGAGTGCGGGCGGCGGCGTCAAGGCCCAGGAAGGGGGCAGACGCGACGGGGGGAGGGGGGGGGAGCTTGAGGGAGATGCCCACAGCGGCCGAAGGTGACGGGATAAAAGGGTCGGACTTTGTTGGATTTGATGCCGGGACGGTGTCGGAGGCTGTTGGCGATGATTGTTTTTTGTTGAAAGTTGTGCGAGTTGCGGTGATGTTGAGGGTTGGAAATTGTGCTGTACGCGGTGGAAGGTGGAAGACGAAAAAGAGAAGAATCGGAGGGCACGGGTCGGCCGCGATTTCTCGGTGGTGGGCGAAAAATCCGGGCGGTGGTCCTCAGGTTTCGGTGGTTGGAAGAGGAGGAAGGAAGGAGTGGAGTACGAGGGAGGGGAGGGGTGTGGGGAGAATGGGGGAGGGGGTGTGACCTGTACAGTACGTATTACCCTACTCTAGGTAGGTAGGTACTCCGTAGACACTACCAGGACGGGAGGAGGGCACGCCGCACGGAGGGCAAGCGGGGGAAGGAAGTATCCGTACTTTTCAGTCACCTCACCTGGGCCGTGATAGATGGTAAATCAGAGTGGGAAAGAGGGAACATTGCACTGGATATCTGATGTAGACAGAGGAGCAAAATCAGGAGAACACCTCAGGCGAAAAGAACAAAGTGGTGGACGTGAAAAGGCAGGCGGAGGTGGACGACCTGAGCAAAGAGCAAGAGGGAACCGGCACACGGGTTGCGGGACGTGGACACGGGGGAAGGAGGCACACACGGCGTGCCTAAGGTGAGGAAGGCGGGCGGGCCTCGGCCTCGCATTCGTTGCAACAGCGCACTTAAGTCCCTGACTTGTCTCCGTCCTCTTTCTGCCTCGTTCATCTCGCCGCACCTTCTGATTATTATATCATCCCGTTCCAACTGCTCCTTCTATCGACCGCAACCCGAACAAGAGTGGAGGAGACGGAACAGAAACTGAAGGAAGATGTCTTGCGCCCCGAACGAAACGGACGGATGTCGCCAGATGGTCGTCCCCACTCAGGGCTGGCCAAGCTCGGTGCGGGTTAGGAAGTCACGGCACGCGGAAGCGGGAGCAGTCGGCGGACTTTTTGGGAAGGGACAGGGCAGTGGAAAGTGCCAAAAATGAAAGAAGTGAAAGACTGAAGAGCGAGAGGGGCTGAGAATAGGGGGGGTGTGTATAGAACAATCCGAGGGGAAATGGAACGGTACGGGGACACAGGTACCTAGCATTTTCCACAACCTCGGAGCCAGGCGCGAAAAGAAAAAAAAAACATAATAGCATTCGGGCAAGAGGCAGAGGCAGAGTGACAGAGACACTGCACAATGAACAGGCGAGAAGGGAGGGAAGGACAGGACGGAATAGAAAGCGAACAAGCAGGAGGAGCTGCCTGGGCGACCTGCCTCGCCCACACACGGGCGGGCCTGAGGTTCCTCCTTTGCTGAGGTTTTACGGGCGGAGCGGCTGGTGGTGCCGGAGCTGAATGAGGAGAGACGGAAGGAAACCAGGAGCGAGGGGACCCACTCTGCCCATTCTGCCTTCCGCGTCAATGTCCGTCGCACATCACCTCAGGGAGGTACATGTCCGGTACTCACCAGCCCAAGCAATCATTCCCCAAAACTAAAGTACCGCCCTGTGCCCCCTCTTCGGGTCTCTCCTTCCAGGTTCCAAGGTTGCCCGTTTCTGCCTTCCCTCCAACTTCCGTCGAATCGGTACCTGCCTCAGCGTCTGCGCGCTTGCGTTGCCTGACACGCTTCGCTGCCCTGCCGACACCTGCACCCCCGCGGCAGGCACCTGCCCCGGGCCTCCCTTGTGCTTCCATTCTTCCATTCGATCTTGATGAGAAGGAGCGACAATGAATGTGTGAGGTAGTTGTGTTCCTCCCTTCTTTGATATCCATCATTTGCCTCTTTTCCCCATCCCTTTTCACTTTTCGAAAAGCTTCACACAAAGATCATGACATGTCCAATATTTCTGCCCAATCCATAGAGGCGCAAATGAAGTCCCCCAACCCCAGCCCGGCTGCCGCCCGAAAGCCAAAACGATGCGCATACTTCGTACAGTCTCTACACAGTGTCTGCGGTATACTTCCCCGACACATTTCGCGTCTCGCATCCATCCGTCCTCTGCCTCCGCCGCCGACCGGTCGCAATCCCGTTTGTTTGCGAGCCCAGCGAATTTCACCGTCCGTCTTGTGGGCTGACCGTTCCTCCGTCTCACCATGTTCCCTTGCGACCTGCACCGCCAATTCTACAACAAGCAATGTGCCCATCTCCCGCAAGCTTTGTCGAATAGCCTCAAAAGACGACTCTGCTCCCGTACTGATACCACAACCAACGCGAGAAGAGTCTTGGCTGACACTGCACCCTCCTCCGAGCTTGCCTTTCGGACCCGACCAGTCCCAACGAGCCCTCATCACACTGCCCTGCGACAATGCCGGGCCCGCCGATTGCTACAGCGCTTTCGCCTCGGCAGCACAGAGTCACAAACCCTGCCAGGCCCGTGGCACGCCGGGCATAGGCCCACACCGCAATGAGAAGGGCGGACAGCGCGATCGGGCCATGTCCACCTTGCCTGACTTGCACCCTTCAGGCTTCAGCAACAGAGAGAGCCACGGCCTACAGGTCACAGGTCACAGGGCAAGGGAACCGCCGCGGACGAGGACGATGGCGAGGCACAGTATGCCATGGCCCATGGCCCATGGCCCACGGGGGTGTGGACGACAAACACCGCCGGGCGGGCCTGGAATCGCCGCGCCCCCCTGGTCCCAGAGTCGGTGTCGCACCCTCTCCCAAGTACCTTTCTTCCTCTCCCTGGTGCTTGTCCCCAAATTCCACGGAGTGCCAAAAACCAACCGGCGGCTACAGGACCACGCCAGCTTGTCCGTCCCTGACCATGATCATCGCGCCGCCAACTTCCAACGGAAGATTGACCCCATCCCGAATTTGCTTTTCGCAGACGCGGCGTGACGGCGCGGCAGGGCGCTTTCGTTGGACGCTGCGCTCGTGCATTTGGACACTTCTTTGACGGCACGGCCTCTACCGATCGAGATGAGGAGGGGCCGGAGATGCAGCAGCAAAACTGTAATTTGCTCGATGGGCTTTGACTGTGCCGACGCTATACGCTCTGCTACGCGGAGCCGATGCGCTTCCCAAAGACCCAACAAGCTCCTCAAGATTATGATTTAGAAGGGCACGTAGGCGTGGTCCTCCCGACTATAGCAGTTCTCCAAAGGCGCATTTTCCGGTTGAGTCTCTCCTCTGCGAACTCGTCCATGCCGTCGTCAATACTCTGCCGATTTGCAAGGCTCCGCGGACACCGTACCCTATGCACATCCTCAAGATGATGCTGCTGGATGTCTCTGGTATGTGGGATAGCCAGTCCACGGCTCGTCCCGGCCATCGGGCTGGTCTGGAACAAACGACTGGCACGCTGGCCGAGGGTCGACACGGCTGTTGTGCACGAAAGACAGTGCCGGCAAAAGCTGCTGCCTCGTACGGGGTCTGCTACATTTGCAAGCTGTTCCGTCTTCGCTCCGGTGGCATCCCACCCAACACGCCCTCGACCCCAGTTTTCACCATGGAGCAGCAATCCCGCGAAAGTCCAGCGCCATCTTGTTCCGGCGACGCGCCAAATTTCTGTTTAATCAAACTCGACCTGCCCGGGCCTGAACCTGGGCCCTTTCCCTCGCTCGTTCCCCGTGCTGAAGCGGACTTGCGCAGACGACGCCCCGCCCCACCCGGCCGTTTCTACGTTTCTGTCCGTATCACCAACATTTTCTGCAGCAAAGGCATACTGCGGCACGCCACTGTGTCTTACATCAAGTTTCACTGCGTCAAGGAATGAATATCAAGATATGCACGGCACATAACCGACGTTGGCTACCGTACGTCTGAGAGCCACCGAGCCAGGCCCAGAGGGTCAATAAGTTTCTTGTGACATCAGGTACGGATACATTGCCCTTGTACACTATCTCCATGCCGACTACGCGGCCAAGCCGGATCTCTGATGCCTCTTTACAGACTATAGGTACTTCGTATCCGTCGTACAAATACGCGACGTCTGCTTCGTCGCTGCTGTTGGGGGCGCAAGAATCAAAGAACACAATGTGGCTTAGCCGGTGGGCGGACCGCGAAACCCTTCCCAGTGCATGCTCTGGTTCATGGGGGCCTCTCTACAGGGCTGTTCAGGCTCTGCAGCACTCTACGCGCAAAAGGAAACAGCCTGATGTCTCTAGCACGCTGCATCGGATTTCGCTACGTTCATCTCTTTCAGTCGGGGAAGCGCGTCATGTCGCATTTTTTCTGCGGAGCGTCTGAACACTCTCTCCCGGTGACCGAAGAAAAGCCTAATCCAGACTTCTCGGCAGATATCCAGACGGGGCTGGCGGCTGCCGTCGATATCCACCCTTTCGCGCGTCTTGTTCCGACTTATTCCTCGGTTGACGAGGATCGCGACATTGAATACCGGGTCTTGATTGCATTCTCTGGAGCATCTGTATCCCCCGTTCCTTGGCGAGATGCTTCATTCGTGCGACTTCGGACATGGTTCTGTGAGCTCGCGGCCGAACTTCTGGGGGTGGTCTCCCTCTCTGGCGCCGACTCGCCGTAGTGTTGCCGGCAAACCTGCCCAGTGCGGATGGTTCCCTCTCTACGCACCCCCGACCCGGCGCGTGCCAGTTCACTTCAGCCCAGCGTGCCGGTCCGCGGCACAAACAAAACATATTTTGAACACTTGCACCATACAATCTGTTACCGAAGCAGCCTGATCTGAAACCCAACATCCGACACACTGCACGCAATTGTGTGACCTCAAAGTCTCTCTCCAGAAACAAACGAACGTTTGCTTCAGCGTAGCACTGTCGTATTGACGGTCTGCTGATTTTATCGTCATGCCATGTCTAGGCCCCAAAGCCCAGATCCGGAGAAAGAGACAGAGAGAGAGCGGGCGCTGCTCGCTACAGTGCGCTATTTTTACCGGCTGAAGCGGTGCGAGGCGAACGGGTCAAGGCTTCGAGAATCAAACAAACTGTACTCCATACAGTGTAAGCTGATGTCGCTGACGACTCCAGCCTGTTTTCTCCGTGAAATCCGGAGGTTGCGTCCACTTTTCCTGCCCCTGTTGTCTCCTACCGGAACCTCTGCCCAGCGCTACCATGCCCGGAGTTGATGTCATTTCGCACCACACCTCCGCCTTGGTGTCGCTCTTCTGCCCCGTATTGTCTTGGGGAGCTGCACGCTGGTCCGGCGCTTCTGCTCCCTTGTCTCTTCTGTCCCCCGAGTCTCGCAAACGGCCATGGGCAATTGAGTGTGGTACCGGTAGGTATTTCACAGGATCTACACGATGGTATCCAGCCTCCTAGAAACGCCGTCATCTCTGTCTTGTGGGCATCAGAACAAAAGTTGGAAAGAATGGATCAACCGTTGAACCGGGGCGCTTGGTGGAACGGTAGCCGAGGGAAGCACATACATACACTCCGGAAGACAACCGACGGTCCGCCGCGGTCAGATCTACTGGGCTGATTACCATTACCAAAGCTGGTGAATCAAACCAGACGAAACAATGGCATTTCTATGTCTCGCACACGACCGGCGATCAGTGCACCGACCAGGGTAGGTGGCGTTTTGGCCTTGCGGCCTTGCGGCACATTGGAAGAGTGGGGCCCACTCCCGGAATCACTTCCGCCGGTTTCCGGAGCACCGGCGATGACAAGACCCACTCGGTGAAGCTGAGACACCTGAGAGACCACACCGAATCCCCGCAGCCGAGCAATCAAAGTCGCTCAAGTCCGCGGGACCACAGCGCGTGACGGCAGCGACCGACGTTCTGGTTCGATTTGTCTCCTGTTCTTTTTCGAAGAATCTTTGGTCATGGACTCGGCTGAGGATCGGTAACTGAAAATCAAGGCCACGGCGCGGCATGGCAAAGCCTCACATCACCTCACTCGCGACGTCCTCGGGATTGGTTCCACAATGTACGGCCGAAGAAACTCCCGCTCCCGCGCATGGCACCATCCGCTGCCGCCCTCCTAAGACCTTGGAAGTTACAGCCAACAACCAAAGGCGGCCAAGAGAATCTCGGAGTTTGAACGGCATTCTTGTTTTTCGCACCCCTGCCAATCGCACTCTGAAGGGGATGTCGTACTTGGCTGATCTGTGACGTATAGAGTGGCTCTGTCCCCCGCAACTTTGATTACTGGAAACTTACGTCGCTGTTGGCTGTTCCTGCTGCAACTTTGACTGCTGCAGCGGCATCACAAGTGCTGCGATGAAATCTAGTTGCAGCGTGTTGGAGGATGTTAAGGTCGTCAATGGAAAAGCTGCTTGCGAGAGCAGTGCGCCAGGCTACCTCTCGTCCCAAGCCTCAGAATTGACTAGCTGATCGGCGATAAACACCAAGGCCGATAGTGGTTTGTGTGGAGCCATCCAGAGATTAAGATTTCTCGGCCGCTCCGGCACCCGCCCGGATATGTCAGCGGGATCCTGTTGACCTCCGTTCTCCGACAATACCGGCACTATCAGCAATCGTGACCGTAGCATACTACACTAACAGTTGGTTAAACACCATTGAATCGGCGGCTGGTCTCCGTCTCACAACCTATCTCCACTGAGAATGTCAGCAACGATCATCCGATTCGGTCGAATAAACTCCGTACACCACATCTTTCGGCCGATAACGGGCCTCCCATTTACCAAGCTTACCCCACATTGCCTCACATCCTCGACTGGAAGACTTCCTATACTCCAATCATGGCAAAGGCTGACTCGCAATGCCTTCCGCCGAATTTCCTGGAAAAGCAGGGGCAGAAGCATTAGGACTATCACCATCAGACACGTGCCACGCCCAGAGATAGAAAGTGGGAGCTGTAAACTTTCTACTTGAGATGTGCTACCATTAAACGTCAGATGAGGAACAGCGCTTCGGGATATCCGGGCTGAGCCGGCGATGTCAGTACCGACTTTCCGTCTATCTACGAGAATCTTTTTTATATCCTTGTGTTATATACACGGGCTCTTTAGTACGTTCCCAGTTTTTAAGAGAGTAAAAGTCCGACTTAAGTAGGATTAAACTTTGTAAATAAATTACTCAATATAGTATAGTTTTTGACTGTATAGTATGTATAACATACTTTCAGTACTTATTTTACTTACAGAGATAGTGACTCTTAAAATAAAGATTAAGAAGGGTTATAAAGCTGAGCTAGACAATGTAGTACGAGAGGTCAGTCTAGGGCCTGTACTAGAAGTATCTGCATAAGCAAGGTGTTTTGATGAAGTATGCGGGAAGTTGTGAATTTTAGTGCTCAACGTGCTACCGTGAGACACTACGTGTGTTCGTAATGGGTCCTATGGGGAGGAGAGCATTCTGGTCACGATATGCGCGGGACGACGATCTGTGCGAAGGAAATCTACTGAAATTGGTGCGTATCGATGTGTTCTGCTTGCCGGCATATGAGGAAAAAGCACCAGGAACTGCCATTGCGCACAATCCTTTCGCACTATGCCTGTTTCCCAAGTGAACAAAACCTCAAGAATAGACAGGAACATCTACCAGAGTCGTCATAACAGTAAAGCGGGAAGGATGACGCAAGCGAGGTTGCTCTTGTCGTTCCTAGGCCTCGTTACTAGCACATATGCGATGCTTCGAGCAGGCACTCATCATAACCAGAAAGTTAGAGCAGACCTCTGTGAACTCTATATTTAATCCATCCCGAAGTAAGATTTAAGTAGTTTTAGAATCCGAAGAATTAACTAGAATTAAAGCTCGAGAGACTATAGCAGGTAAGTATTTAATATTATGTTGCAAGAACTTGTTATTAAAGTGAACCCTCCTCGAAAAGGGTAGGGAACTCTGTGAACTCGCACTCTCTAAGCTTCGAGGCTGGCTTAGATCTCGTAACAATCGATATCTAAGCTGAGATCCGCGCTAACGGGTAAGCGCGAACCCGAGTCGAACTACGGTTAAGTCTAGCTTCGTGTTCAGAGCAATGTCGATAAAGACAGAGTATAGGGGAAGAAAACATAGAAAAAAACATGATTCGTCCGGGCTTCGTCCGGGCTTAGGCCCGTACATCCAGAGAAGCGGCGGCGCAGGACTCGATAGGGGAAGCGCATTTGCAGCAGCTAAGTCATGAGGCGATAAAGCCCCAAAGCTATCAGAAACAGCTCAGTAACTTAACCTCAAACTCCCAGTAACCGACAAGGCCAGTAGCTAGTCACCGTTTAGATGAGGAGTACAAGATTAGCGAAACGGACGCCAGCGCACTCATTGATACTGTTTACATGCCTTCTAATTCGCCTCACTAGCAATGCCCAGAACGACCAATAAGTAAGAAACATTCGCACTAGCATTTCTGGCAGCAGTGTCTTAGAACCTGGACGTATCCTCAGGTACGGCCTACTGCACGCCTCGTCCTTCATCAGCTCGTGTACTACGTTCTACAAACGGCGGGACAGTGATTTCCCCTGACTTGGATAATAGTAAATGGTCGAAGAAGAAAACAAAGAATTTAGTTGTAGTAAAAGGCTAGGCTATAGCAAGGCATCGTTAATATTGCTGATAGAGGTAGTGGCTACAGGCTTCTCCCATACCTCATCGCCAGTACCTAGTCTGTTTTCCTTCTTCCCTCCTTTTTCGTTCTTCGTCCGACCTAGTTCCTTTCATTACATCCCTTACGCCTACCACCGGTTCCTTCTCCATTCTCCGTACGTGTGCGCCTTGTCAATTTTCGTTCTACTGTGCGCCATACGCTATACAAAGGTGAACGTTCGCCTTCTTGCCCGCTTCAGGACATTCAGCGCCGGGCTGCGCCCATCGGCTGATAACGGAAACTAGTGCGGCCGACTTATCATAGTACTCAAGTAACAGTTCAAGACCAATCAAACCCCATGAGTATCTTGCTTACGTACAACCCTAAGCTAATTCCTTTGTCATTCAGAGGCTAAAAGCACAAAGCTCAAGGGACCATGGCAACGTCTTCCAGATCATCATCTTCATCACCTGTACTACTTCTGAAAATGGTCAGCCCCGGCCCTCATAGACGAGGCCATGCTCAAAATCTAGCGAGCAAGACTATAGCGGAGCTCGCCGGACTTTTGAACGAAGCTCTGGTCTCTTCGGCGGAAAGCCCGACTGAAGCAACATATATCTGTCCTCCCGCATCTCCAGAGGACATAGAAGCGCTTAAGAGACGAGTAATTGACGAAGATGGTCACTGCGCCCTAGACCCAGACTACGTCACGTTCCTTACAGTCAGCGATGGATTCAAGCTTCAAGGACCGGAGCAGGAGGACTCAGCAGATGACCTGATTGGCATCCTTTACAATGCGGCTCGAGTTATTAAGGAGGAACACGTGGACTTTCACCTATTCGGAGCGAATCCCCTTCTGCATGCGCCATCCCAAGACATTTGGAAGAAGTTCAACTGGGATAGCGGAGTAGGTGTCGACCTAGGCCCAGCTGGCGACGAAGGGAGTCTCTGGATGTTTGGTCCAGCGGAGCTGCAGCTTCTTCTTCGGCAATTCGATGATACCTATCTTACGCTCACGCAGGATGAGAAGAAACAGGTCGATCAGTACGTCTTGGAAACGCATGGTAGTATGGAGGCAATGAGAGAGCTCCGGTTCTCTGTCATGCAATTCTATCATTGGTCACCAAAGGTTAAGTTGCATTTAGGGTTTCGGGCGTACCTTGAAGATCTTGCAACGATGACTTTGGCAGGCGAGGATCCTTATGACTACTTTTTGTGCCAAGATGCCTAACCGTACCAAAACTTCTTGATGAACAAAGATACCGGGACACAGCCCTGTAAACCACGTCGTGCTGAGCATGTGGTGCGTGCTAGATACTGGTACAAAACATAGTAATATCCTGGCGTTACTTTAAAGTGATTGGAGCTTTTGGCAAATCGCGTGATAGCTTCTCGTGTTCACGAATCTAATTCTGGCGATTTATTTTGGCGCACATAAGTTATCGAAATACGTTAAACGGCAATCAAGGAAGAGTCAAAAATTGAACACGACTTCAAGTCATGGGCAATGGTGACAGGAAATTTGGCTGGCCGTTTCTGCCTTGGCTAGTTCGTGCTAAATGCAAGGCAGAAGGGCCAGCCGCAAAGCTTAACACCGTGCCAGGCGGAGGTGCAGATACTCTACTGGTGGCGGCAAGGGTTTCTAGTGGGATGTTCTGTCCTGCTAGGTTCCCTGCATGGAACTACTGGTTCTCGCTAGTACTCAAGCAGCGCTAAGCTGACCACTTTAGTTGTATGATGTTCAGGGTCTCTTGCAGCCTACGATACAAGATAGTGCGTATGAGCGTGCCGTCCTACCTTAGGCTGAGTCCGCAGCTTATCATAGGACAGGGCTCGTCTCTTCAACAGTTTTTCGGCTTTGACGGCATGATAATCTTGCTAGTGTGGCCGGACAGATGGTCTTCCAACGTTGGCCCGCATATGAGAGATGAAAGCCAGCTGAGGGCGCGCAGGAGCTACCTTGGCAAAGTTAACTCAAGTGCTCGATTACACTATATCTAGAGTGCGCTGACAGAACAACTACGCCTTCAGCTACTATTACCTCACATGCTTCAGAGATTGTACTTGCTCGGATCACCTCTGAATCCTTCGCAGTATGTTCTGTATTGTCTGCTCTTGGACCTTTAGATGCTGGCGGATTGTCATTTTCATTCAAACTGACTTTGCTCAATCCAGCCTTTGAAGGGCCTTGACTACGTAAAATACCTGGTAAAATGTCTCTTCCTCCGGCCGAGCAGCTTCCTCTCAACCTTCAAAAGAACGGTGCATATCCTGCCCCTCTGCATAAGATCCTGGGTTGACACAAGAAAGTTCGAGACACTTTCGAGCGGCAAAAAATGGACCTCCAGACGAAACTTTGGAAGGCTCCTCTCAATGTTTCCTGAACCGTAGATGTTGATCCTCTCGCCATCAATCCGTACCTGTTGTCCTCAACGTCCGCAGACGTAAAGAAATATCTTAATAGAGTGCTTGCTGAGTAGCCTAACCATCTTGTCTTTAATTGCCCCAGATCATGAGTTCTCATAATTAACCAAGGTTGTTGCTCAAGCCACCACCGCGATTGAGGGGTCCAAGGAAAGCGTTGGGTGCAACCTTGATGCTGCCGCCTCTGCTCCCTCCTATCCCTGGAGGTCGCAGGTTTAGCCAACTGCTCTTGCGGTAGCCATGGTCGCAAGGTCCACATCCTCGTTGCCCCCAAGGTCTATGCTCGAATGCCAGCAAAGCCGCTGCCGAGGACAACAACAAGGAAGCGCTCAACAATGCTTCTGTTAAGGGCGGAGATGAGCTCAGCTTTACTGCTTAAGATGGTCTGGGCAAGTATCGGTATCCGACTGAGGATGCAATCGAAGCCAAAGCTTGTAGGCACCCTCGAAAAACCTCATCAGATGCCATGATCCTCACCTGCTGACTCACGCCAGCCCGCGAGCCCCTGTCCTGCATTTCCCAGTGTTAGTGTTATTTCGCAAGTGCGCAGATTTTCCGCTGTTGTCAGCCTTAAAGCCTTGCCGCTGATACTAGACCGTGCGTCAGCACGCTTAGGCTCAACTTCCATCATTCAGTCGCAAATTGGTGGCGCTAAAATTTGCGAATGGCTGCCAAATCAAAATGCTTTCAGCTCGTGGGTTCGTGATTATCAGGATGTCGATCACATTTAGCTTGAAAACACTGATTAGGGATGTCAGCCCACTCTTGGTTTGTCTCAAACGGGGATCATCTGCTTCAACCAGCGCAAGCCGGCTCTTAAACATCATAAGAGTAACCCAATCCCTCAATCTCTTGTCTACTGTGTCTTAGAAACCGACACTGCTTTTCATTCCCTTCTACTTCTAGTCACTCAATTACGTTCAATTCACTCATTACATATCTCCAAAATGGCGGCTCAGGCCAACACCCACAACAACGGTCCCATTGACCACAACGACCTCAACGAGTGGAAGGGCCGTTTCAATGACGTTCTCGCCCGTCCGAGTGAACACATCAACTCTAAGTCTCATCCCGAGACTTCTCGACCTTGGCATAACAGCTTCTTCAGCTGCTTTAGCCCTATTGACCTTTGCGCTATAACTTGTTGCGTCCCTTGCGTGACGTTTGGCAAGACCCATCATCGTCTCCGGAAGAACGGCAGCCTGCAGGGCTATGAGCCTATTAATACTTCTGTACGTTAACACAGCGATGCACCTCTACACTTCGGGTGTTTGATGCTCGGTGGTCTATTGCTTCCTATTTCGCCCGTTGCTATTATCTTCATATACACGCACCTTTATACAACGCTGACTTGCCTTACAGTGTCTCATGTTCTGGGGTTCAACTTGTTTTGGTCTCCATTGGATTCCTCTCGCCCTTCAGCGCGCCAACCTTCGCGAGAAGCATAGTCTTGAAGGTAGCTGTCTGGTCGATCTTGCTACTGCTTGCTGCTGTGGCTGCTGCGATCTGATTCAACAAGAGAAGGAGGCAGAATTTCGTGAGACTGAGGCTGCTACTGCCCACGCAGGTAAGGGCTACGAGGCCAACGCGGCAATGAGCGTCCCTGTCTGAAAGGAAACTCTCGAAAAGATTAAGTGTGCTACAAGATGGCCTTAATTGAATGGATTGCAAACCGATTTTTACATGTATCACCCTATCACTATGACCTTGAGACCACTGAGCAGAAGAGTGGCCGTATCTTCAACTTGCGTATTATAGTTACACGAATCTATTTCCTTCAGTGGCTCATTGCTACCCGTGCTATCCATGAGAGTGTGTTCAATTTGACCTGATCACGATTTGTGGCCAGACTTATCAAGTACACGATGGCCGAAGTTACAAGACCTACATGAGGACTGTGAACAATCCGCTGGCCAATCCCTGTGAGGTAATACCAGATGGAAAGCCGCCTTCCACTATCATCCCTAAGATAACGCGAAAACGCCTCGCCTACGATATCATGCGCGGTGTCGTGTTCAATGACCATGCCCATCCAAAGTGGATCAACCCCGACCCCATAAGGACACAAGTTTCGATGCTAAGAAAGGCTAGGGTCCCTTTGGCGGATCCGCCATCAGACAGATAGCCTGATCGGCAACAAAGCTTGGCGACCTTGGTGGGCTGCACAGGCGCTGGACCTAGCTGGCAAGTCTGGATGCAGTGGTCGTCAGTACCGCCCTGCCAGTTCCGCCATGTGAGACCTCCTCAGGATCACCATGTAACTCCGATTGGAATGAGCTTGAGAAAACACAATCTTATTATTTCATTTCGTAAAGCATGACTTTGTATCATTACAACCAATTTATTTGCCTGTTGGTAGATTGCATAACTATACGTGATAGGAGAATCGATCAAACGAGGGGACTGGAGATTACTATGAGCCTTCAGGGTTGACAGCCAGACTCGAACAGAGACAATAGTCCAGTTTCTTTAGCACTTAAGGTCAATTTCAGATACCGAAAAAGGTTGGTATACCAAAAAAGCTGTCGAACTTGACATCTGTATGTCAAGTTTCTCCCAAAGTCACTTCCTCGGCCTAGTCTTCTAGAAACAGGCAGTCAAAGCACATTTAATCAGAGACGAACGAGCCCTTGGCAAGGACTGGTCTTCGCCATGAGGGGATAGTTTCCAACGGGCATAGTGTGGCAAATTAGGTGTGAGGGGATATGAACTAGAAGAAAGCGTGCAAGTATCAGTGGCTGGATGGGACACGACCCCTGATGATTTTCTAGGTAGACTAATGATCGTTGGTTTATGACATCTAGCTTGCACCTTATCGGATTAATTCCGAGTTTGAAGCTGCTTCCATCATTTTCAAGAACATTAAACAATTTTGAAGAAAGAAAAACTTGAGAATAGTAGCAGAGTCATGCGGATATTCTCTTAAATGTTCCTTGATAGACAGCTAGGGACTTCTAGATAGCCCATGCTGTAGTGCGTGCAGGGTGCCATACTCTGAGAGGCGGAAAACCTTCAAGGTTCAAACACACCACCCAATGCATTTTATATCCAGTTCCATTGTGCTCTATCAGTGCGAGCTCACTAGTAGAGTCCTCAAATCAAAGCTCGATTGTAAAGAGCTAGGCTTCTCTTTACGCCTCTGCCTATCTGACTTGCCTGCATGACATGGCCTCAAACACAGCCCATAAGTCTGCAAAGGTGGCACGCTTGCAACACAGCACATATCAGTATCAAGACGTGCGCGTATAGTTGGACTCATCGAATATACTTGCGGCAATGACTCTTCATAGATGCCCTCAACCTTCCATCGAGGTCCCTAGTCAACGTCTTTAGGGACCTTGCGAGACAGCTGCCAGAGGAGCAATATAAAAGCCCGCTGCTCCCTCGCCAAGAATTTGCCAGCATCTAACCTCCGCATGCCTTCTCTCGAAACCGTAAGTACTTAAGTATCTCCGAATGCCCAGAGAAGAACCTGTCCTGCATACAATTGAAACCCTGTTACTCAGATTACGAAGTTCTTTCTATCTCTCGGGCACTGGTAAATAGCAGGCTTAGAACCTAAAATTTGTTAGATCAAGCGCTATCAGTTCAAGCGTAGGCACGCAATACATCCGAGCTTAAGCCATAGGTAGAACTACTATCGCCCCTAGTATCTCCCTCCTTCTCCGGGCTCAAGTAGAGATCACTGTACGATATAGACTTAGGTATCTACAGAATATCACTCCTCAGTGTTTATCGCAGCACGGCATCTCTACCGCGCTCACAATCTACCCACTTTGTGAAGTGATAGGATTTGGCCCTTGTCATGTTTGCTTTTGACCAATCTGTGAATTAACTGGCTACAGCAAAGTCACGAATAGATCATATTCCAAGGGGAAATTTGTATGCAGCTCCTACAATGCACCGCGCAAAGCAATTCTTTGCCGTACTCGGCCGTAGCACCGGCCTGAAAAAGGCGGAACCGGAACACGATACCGATATCGACACCAAAGATGACACCAAAGTCGAGAGAAAAGCCGATTCCCGCACGCGCTACCGCGACTTCGAAACCCAAACATCTCCAGACCCTAAGCCACCAACACTAACAGAAAAGGGATGGACCTTTCGCCGCGAAGCCGAATTCCTCTGGCGACTCGAGCAGGTCGTCGACCAAGAAGAGAACTGGCGTGGGACCTGTATGCCGGAAGTCAAGGATATGCGGGCGATGGACTGGGGCACTGAGCTCGTGCCCAAGGGTGATGGGAAGGGAAGGGGAGGGCGGTATCAGAGGCAGCTGACAAGGCATTTCTGTATTCTGTTGATGGGGATAGAAGTGGGAATAGAGAGAGGCTGGGGGGCTGGCAAGGTGATTTGATGGTTATGCTTGGGAAGCCGCAGGGGGTAGCACAGGATAAGTGCACTTCTAGTAAGATATCTGGATGTTCTGGAGCGGAGTTTATCTGCTCAGTCTGCAATTTCTATCTCACAAGTTCTCTGATTAGCGATAGTGTGCCGATGCCAGAATAATATAACAGTAATTAGATTCTGAATATTTCGAGAACCAGCTCGTCTATAAAGAAAACCGACTCATGCAAGTGAAGGCGACTCGAGGTGATAAAAGTGCACCTGTACAGGTAAGGCAATGACCGTGTGCAGGCATACAGACGCTTGCTTAGTCTATGATGTCTTTGAGGAGCTTTTGCCTGTCACAACTGAATTATTTCGTGTGAGCCCCGGACTAAGGAAGGCCACGTCAATAAAAAGAAACATATCGTTGTAAGTGGATTAGAAGAAAGACACAGGCAGGTGGTCCTCGAGGAAGGTCGTGAGGGGAATGAACTCAGAATCAGAGTCAGAGTCAGAGTCATCGGCAAAGCAGGCGGGGACTCCATGGGGAGCTTAAAGGAGATATCCTCCTCTGAGTTCGGCTTGGTTGCTCTGCCTCCCAAACGATACTCAGAGGAATACAAGCGGGCCGACGATGCGGAAGGAAGAGGCTCTGAATACTTCCACTCAGAACACCTAGTACACTGCAATCTCCAACTTCTTCTTTGACAAGATCAAGAGGAAAGATGAGGGACAGAGCTTCGGAATATCCGAATTGAGACGGCTATATTAACGCCGACACCCCGTACATCTACATGATTCTCCCCAGGGTTTCTGCCTTCCAGTCGGTTCAATCGTCTTGCCGGTACGGAGTGGCCTGCACACCTTCTTAGTGCGAACGTGCTCCACCAGGATCAGAAGCGAACGGATACCTAACGGCACATGGAATATGGTGGTGCTGAAAGTAGTCCCACAACCAATCATCCATATGTAATTACCACCCACGGGAGGGCGGACACTTATGCGACTGCGGTCCCGCAATCCTAGCACAGTAAATGTTGGCAAGCACCCCCGCACTCCCGGAGGCCGGGCGGCAATGCCGGTGGGGGTTAGCCTTTTCATTCCAAAACCTGGGGTAACGTGAAGTCGCTATGACGGTGAACTGTAAAACAGCGACACCGACCTAGACGTCGAATGGCGGGAAATCCGATGCTGGTGTGACGGTCCATCGCGGAGTCGGGATAACTAGAAGATCATGAGAAACATCGCAATACATACAAATCTCAACGAGTTCTCCCCCGTTGAGGCGAGTATCGGTAACTCCAGCCTGTCACAATAACAGACACAGGGCGTTCACATCATACCCGTAGAGATGGGCTCACTCACCACCAACGCCATGCAGGGCCTCTCTTCCCGCATCGTGGATGCTGTAACTTCAAATCCGGCAGTCTCTCTGCTCTACATCGCCCTCACGACAATATTGGTCCTATTTCTCTGGACGAAAACGACGAGACGGACAAGCGGTCTACCTTTACCGCCTCAACCGCCCTCGAAGCCGATTCTCGGCCACTTGACGGATTTGATCAGGGAGAATAGGGCGCGGCGATGGCATTTGAAGTTGGAAGGGTGGGCGAGAGAGTATGGCGCTATTTTCGGGGTGAGGACGGGGTATATTGTTGATTATTATATCAACTCTGATCTATTGGTCAAGGTAAGCTTGTCACACTCGTGGGCTGACAGTGGAAATGCGAGAGCAGCGAAGGTCTCGATTCTAGTGATGATGGTATGAGAAGGCTGGGGTTCTGACGATGAAAATAGGAGCTTTTTGATAAAAAGTCTGCGGTGACGGCGGATCGACCTGTGTGGATCATGTCGAATTATTAAAGGTCTAGCCCACGTAAGTCCACGTTAGGGGGATTTTAGTATATAGAATCTAAGCTAAGGAGTAGAGGTTTTTAAAGCGGAGGTTCTATAGAGGTTCTATAAAAAAAAAGCGTTTAAATAGGACTTTTATAAAAACGGCGCGGTGAGCTATAGTAATATCTAGGTTAAGGCTCGGATTTATTAATTAAATCTAGTCCGTAATACGTACCCTTTTATTTTACTTTTAAAATAAATCCGTTACTGGTCCGTTTTTTAATTATAAATACCCCGGGTAATTAACTACTTTATTTTAATTTACTAACTAGCTACCCGTGGTCCCTTTTATTAATTTCTATTAAGCCCCCTCCTTTTATAAAAAGCTTTTTTTTTTTAACCTTTACGTAACGATTTATAAATACTTTAATTTATTTATTTCTACGCTTTTATTACTTAAATTTCGTTAATTTATTATAAAAATCTAATTTTTAATAAGCCCGCCGTCCCCGCTATTGTTTTTTATATATATAATCTTTTTTTTACGCTCGTGCGCCCGTGTATATTTAAAAACCCTTTTTTAATTTAAAAAATAATTAAATAAATATTCTATACGCTACTATTATTATATTTTCTATACGCTATTACTCTATAACTTTTTAATTTTTTATCTATTATTAATGTTTTAATAGTTCGTCCCCGTTAATTAATTTATTACTGTTACTACGCTTACTGAGCCTGTTACCCTATTTAATAACGAGGGTAATATAGATAATAAAGAGTTAGAGTTTAGCTTTAATTCTGAACTATTATTTATTTACTTTTCTAAAGATAAGCTAAATATTTAAATAGTATATTAAACTTACGCGGCGTATTCGTTCTTTATTTATAAAGTCCGTTAACTTTACGTTTAGTTAACGTTTAATAAAAAGGGTAAAAGAAAAAAAAAGGAGGAAGAGAAAAAGAAAGAGCGTAAGCCTAAAGAGGCTCTTATACTGGGCGCCCTATATAAAGTCCTCTACCTCCTTTATATATAAACGCTAATTAAGGGTAGCAATGCCCTAGTTAGCGTCGGTTATTATGATTATTTTTATATACTAAGCTGCTATTATTTATTTATTTATAGGTTATTAATTTATTATAAAATTAAAGGTATTATTTACTACGCCGCTTACGCCGATAGCAAAGCTAACCGCCGCTACGACCCTATATATTTATTATTATTATTTTTTATTTATTTTACGATTATTAACTTATTATTTTTAGTTTAACGACGTTATTAAAGCTATTTAAATAGAGTTTTTTTAAATAATTAAAGAGTATTATTAACTATCGACCCCTATTACGGATAACCCCGCTTTTAAAGTCGTTATATATCCGCTCGATATTTATTATTTATATATTACTAACCGTTCTTTTTTTATTATTAATATAAAGACTTTATAAGTATTTTTAGCTATTTACGTATTACTATTACTATTTAAACTAAGGCTAAGAATAAAGAGGCCCGTGCCCGCTATAACGCTTACGCCGTAACCGCCTCCCCTATTATTAAAATGCCCGCCCCCTGCGCAACCTTTATTAGCGCAACTCCTATTTATATAACCCCCGCCGCTACTTTTATTATTATTCTTATTATTAAGGGCGCGGCCTTTTTTATTATAAAAGAGGCTTATATTATTAATAAGTATTATTAGGCCCTCGCTTCCCTCTACGCCACTATAAATATTTTTTTTATACTCTCTTTTTTTATAATTAATCTATTTTTAAGCCGCGGCTTATTATTAACCTCCCCCTATTTAAGCTAAAAAGAGTAGCCGGCCCTTAGTTTTTAAATTTTAAATAGCCCTTTTTTACGTTTATAATATTACCGTTAGTTTTATATTACGCCTTACGGGGCTAAATAGTCTTTTAGCTTATAGGCCTTAACTTAATTACTTTTTTACTTCTTATTTAATACCCGTTTTTTTATTATTATTATAATTTATATAATTACTGCGGGCTTTTAGCGCTTCTTAACTTTATTTCGGTAATTTAGGTTATTATTAAACTTTTTAACGGGCCTATAATATAGTTCGAACTCTTTTAAAGCGTCCGTTCAGTAAAATAAAAATAGGGGTTCTTATATTAGCTTTTAATAACCTTTTTATTTAACGAAGACTTCTTTTTACTATCCGTAGCCTATATACTTTTATTACGCTATAAATATTTCTTTAACTAACTAGTAGTCCTTATTATTTTTTTTAATTAAAGGGGGCCTTTCGTCCGTTTATTATTAGTTTAGTAAAGGGTCGTTCGCTATACGCCGTAGTATATTAATATAAAAATAGAAGTAAATATTATTAAGTACGTTAAGCTATATAATGGTGGGTTTCGTAACCTTAATTATTTTGTATTTATAATATAGCTAGTCTAATTTTTTATTAAGTTTAGGGGATTTATAATTACTTATATATAGCTATACTTTATTACCGACTTTGAAGCGCTTTATTAGCGCTTTTTATTTATTAACTAAGCGCTTTATCCGTTTTTATAAAGTAGTTATAGCGGCCTAGGCGAACTTCGTTATTTTTATAAGTTTTTATATTATAGAATCGGTTTTTATTTTTTGCTCGTTCGCTATTTTTAATATATTTTTTTAAATCTTTAAGGGCTCGACGTTATACCTATACTTTATAAAAAAAGGTAAGAGCTTTATTATTAAAGCTATTCGGTTATTAAGGCTTAGTTAGGTAGCTAGTAGCTAGTCTTTTTAGTTATTTTAGGTATATACGATTATATATTATAAAATTACTTCGATTTTTTAATTAAATCGTTTAGTTAACCCGTCGGTTTATAAATAAAAAGCGGTATTTAGGTACTATTTTATCTTTATTTTTATATAGAATCGGCGCTAGAATTTATTAATTTAATTACTATTATAATTATTTATAATAAACTGAGGTATTTTATAAAATTAAAAGTAATAGTTAATAAAGCGGTCTATATAGGCCTCTACCTTTATAAATATTATTAGTTTAAGAATAACGGACTTTATAAAGCGGTCGACTATTATTTATAAGAACTAGGCGCCGCTTTTTAATAATAGGAGGAGGTCGGTAATAAAGTCTATTACTAAGTCGCTTTTTATCTGTTCCGGTACTATAAGAGGTTATAAAAGGCCGTATTTAGCCTACCGCTATATAATATTCTTTTTATAAATATCGTAGTTTTAAATAAACCTTTTTATTACGCTAGACTAGCCTAGTTAATAGAACTATTTAAATAAAATAGCTATAGTAGCGTTTTTATTAAAGTAATTCGTTATTAAAAATCCGTAGTAATATTAAATTATCTTCGTTCGGAGCGCGTTATCGTTATAATCTAGGTTTTTATATTTAAGGACCTATAATCTCTCTCGCTAGGTTAGTTTTAAAAGTACGTTAATATTATATTTTATAATTTATAATTTAAAACTTAACTTAAAGAGGAGCGCCCTAGCTCTGCTTAATATTACCTCGTATACTTTAAAATATTATTTATCCTTTATTTTTATTTTATTTTATCGTCGCTAGAGCTCTATATTATTTATAAAAATATCGGTCTCGGGTAGCTTAGGTACTTTTATAGTTTTAGTTCGGCGGATTACGCTAGTCGTTAACTAAATAGAGTTAAGAATTACTTAAATAATCTTTCTTTTCTCTCTCTCGTCGTCCTAGTTAATTAAGGCGTTTTATTTATATTTAAAAAGCGTATTTAGGGTAGCTAATAAACGGCCTAGGTAATACTCGATTTTAAAATAATATTATAAGAGTTACTCTATTTAACGGCTTTAATACTTAGTTAGCTTTTATTTTTATATAAAATACTTTAACTTTTTATAGTTTATAATAATTTTAAATTTATAAAAGCTCTATAGCTCTGCGTCCTATGTATTTAAATAGGATATTATAGCGAGGAGCTTTTTATTATAAATTAAGTAATTATATTAAGTAAGTATAAGCTTTTATAAATAAAAAGCGACTAGTCGGCGTACGTTTAATAGATCCTTTTATATAAAGGAGCCTCTAAACGTAAATTTAGAGTAATCGGTTTTAATAATTATTACTAGGTTAGAGTTAAAGCTTCGAAGTAAGGGCGCGGATATAAAACGCTTTTTAAGCGTTTTGAAGGCGGCGTCTTGCTCGGCCGTCCATTCGAACGGCGCCCCTTTTTTAATTAGGGCGTTCCTAGCCTAATAAAGGTCGCTATATACCTATAAAAGGTATACGAGGAGTTTATCGGACCCTCGTTTCCTATCTTTCCTTCCTTTATAATAGAACTAGCTTATTACTTTCTAGACCCGAGGGGCGAGGTATAAAAAGATAAGGTATTTCCGTTCTTTATTAATATAATAAAATAGTATATTAATAACGAGCTTATTATATATCTAGGCTTTTTAAATACTATATTCGTTTTTATTACCCGAGAACTTCGCTAGGTTTAATAAGGGCTTTTTATAGGGGGCTCCGTTATTAAAGGGCGCTTTTAAATTAATAAGGGTTCTATAAAGGTCGGGTTTTTTAATAAAAAGCGCGGGGGGTCCGTTTATTTATTAAAGCTATTTTTATAATAGTTATAAAATCTCGTTAAACTTTTTATATTTGCGCTTTTATTTTATTATATTCGTTGCTCTTTTTATTTTATTTTACCTCTAGGCTTTTATTAGCTCTTATAAACTTTAAATAATCTATTCTTAGGTCTACGTTATAACTCCCGCTAACTAGGCGCTTAATAGTATATCGGTAATCGTATTCGCTTTTATTACGTAATATAATTAATAATAAAGTAAATAAAAAGAAGAGTTTAGATATATTAAGGGTTTAGTTTATATAAGTCTACGTTAAAGGGATTTTAGTATATAGAATCTAAGCTAAGGAATAGAGGTTTTTAGAGCGGAGGTTCTATAGAGGTTCTATAAAAGAAAAGCGTTTAAGTAGGACCTTTATAGAAGCGGCGCGGTGAGCCGTAAT